TGGACTCAGCGGGCAGGTATGACGGGGAGAGGGGACGGGGACAGGAAGAGCCGACGACACCCATGTTATCACTGATCGCTGTCCCCAGGCAGCCCGTGTGGCTCTGCCCGCCTCCCTCACCTCTCCCCGCACACGGCCCCTGCCCAGGGAGCAGACCGGCCTGAGGTCGGACACGCGCCCGAGGGTGCAGTCAGGAAGCAGCCGAGTGGTGTGGGGTCTGCACCGGACCCCGATCTCTCTGAGGCCCCGCTCCGTGCCCCTGTACCAGACCACCTTCTGGGGTGGCTCACCGTGGGCCGGCGACCACAGGGTGAGCCTGGCACAAAGGCTGGCACCGAATAGGCACTTTCATCCTCAGACCATCAGGACACTGCATCCAGGGGCCCGTGGGGAAGCGATTCCGAACATGCATTGGTTTTGTTTCCCCTGGCACCCCTCCCTGGGGCGGAGAAGTGAGAGGCGTGGCCACTCCCCACTCTCGCCCTCTGGGGTGGCTGGCAGGGGGTGTTTCCGTTCTGGGGGAAGCTGGGAGAAGCCCCTGAGAGGCCAGCCACTGCTGGCTGCCCCCCACACCCCCTACCCTATGCTGAGGCGGGGCTGGCAGTGATGACAGGAGCAGAGACTTCCAGGATGGAGCTGGCACAGCTGTCCTGTCACCCCCCACCTCCCACCCTGAGGCCAAACCGCCAGGACCTCTCTGCCTGACACTCAGGACCTGAGGCGCTGGTAACAGTGATGTCAGAGCAGCTGCAGCCCATGTGCCTCGCCCCCGGATCACGCTCACCTCAGGTGTGTGGCCTCCCACTTCCCGAGACCTAGGACTCATTCCCACAATCATTCACCCCCCAGGTGCTCACCCAGCACCTGCCACATGCTGCGCGCTGTGCCAGGACAGAGCTGCGGGCAAGACCGGCTGGTTCCAGCCCCAAGGATCTTACCACTGAGTGCAGCAGGGGACACAGCAGGGAGGCAGCGGCAGGCCTCAGACTCGGGGTGTCCTGGCTCCCGGTCAGATCCTGAGGCTGCGGGTCAGGGAAGGCCTGTGAGGAGTGCACGCAGAGCCTCGGCCTAACCGGGAATTGGGTGGGAGGAGAGAGAGGGCAGTGTGGATGGACACTATTGACCTGGAGGAGGGGGAAGCATGTCAGGTGTACGAGGGTGTGTGCCCGACCACGTGGCCCCTGTGGCTCAGAGAAATGAAAGCACCCTTCCCATCGCTTTATGTCACAGGTGGGAAGCCAGGCTGGGGAGAAAGCCAAGTCCTGAAATAGTTTAGCCACCCCTTTAAAGGAAACGGGAAACAAAGAATCCAAAAAAAAAAATACCACCTCTGCTGTCATGGAGCTTAAATTCTACAGGAGAGACACTAAGCGATGAACTGGACTAACCTGTGAGGGGGAGATGAAAGGAGGGGGCGGGGGGCAGGGGTGGAGTGTGCAATGGGTGGGATGGATCCGGGCTCCCGGGGTAGCCTGTGGAAGGAAGACATACTCTGGCTGAGATGTTGAGACGCCAAAGGCAAGTAGGAGCTGTAGGGGGTGAAGGTGGGGCACAGGAAGAGATCCTACATCCCAAGTGGGAAGAGGGAAGGCCCGGAATAATCAGGGGTGGCTGGCAGGTACCTGAGAGCGGGGGTATGGGTTGAACGAGGCAATACTGGGAGACATGCAGCTCTGTGCTGGGGTCACTCCGCCCGTGACCTTCATTCTTGGGGCCTCAGGTTTGAAAAAGCCTAGTCCCCGACCTGGAGCAGTCCTACTGGGGGAGCGGCTGGGAGGGGCGGCGTGGGCCCCAATAGCCCAGGCCCTCCCTCCCCAGTCCTTCCCTGCAGCATTGGCAGGCAGAGCGGCAGTGGGGGGGCCAGCTGTCTCCCCACTCCAGCCATAGTTCCCCACGGCCCCGAGGAACTATGCATGAGCCCAGAATCAGAAACCAAAAGACCAGAGTTCTTAGGCTCAAGACCTCATGCGTCCATTGATCCTGAGAGGCCAGTCTTTGCAGGTTTGAACATCTGCAACAGCGCTCTCTCCCAGCCCGGGTTCACACTTCTCCTGGTGCTACACAGTCAGGCTGAGTCTCAAGCGGCGTCACGGGTTTGGTGAAACAGTCTGGAGATCCCGACTGTGGCCTCCTGCTTGGAGCTGACTAAAAGCAAGGCGGACAGAAACTGCCTGCGCTTTCACAGCTCCCTTCAGGAGAAGCCACTGACTTCATGGACTCTGAGCTTTCCTGGGAAAAACATGTGTATCTTGTTCTTGTCAGCAGAGCTCACAGACTAATCTCAGCCGTAAATCTTGCCGTCTTTGTTTGAGAGGCTTTCAGACTCCAAAGAATTATCTGGCCAAAGGATTCCTAACAAGGTCACTGGCTCACAGGCTCCTGGACTGAAAATTCCATGTAGGACAGGAACAACCATGAAGCCCTGTTCATACAGGGACACCTGGCAGGCAGGCCTCAGTGGTAGAGCGTCAACCTATGAACTAGGAGGTCGTGGTTCGATTCCCGGTCAGGACACATACCAGGGTTTGGGCTTGATCCCCGGTGTGTGGGGCTTGCAGGAGGCAGCCAATCAGTGAATCTCTCATCACTGATGTTTCTATCTCTCTCTCCCTCTCCCTTCCTCTCTGAAATCAATAAAGATATTTAAAAGGAGGCACAGGACTTACTTGACATTTCTCCAAAGACCCGGGAATAGCCAAAAAGCACATGGGAAGATGGTCAGCATCACAATCACCAGGGACATGCAAACCGGAACTGCAATGAGACGCCGCGCACCCACCAGGATGGCTGTCAGCCGAGGAGCCAAAGAGCGGAAGGTGAGTGCTGCTGAGCAATCCCTCGGCATTGCTGGCCGGGATGGAAAACGGGGCGACTGCCACACCCAGGGCAGCAGGCCCCCCAGTAATGTCCTTCCATTCCTAACACTGATGCCACAGAAACTCACTCACATCAATTAGCCTGTGGCACAATGGGTCTCATTGTGCTTGCTTCATTTAAAGTCGCAGAACCTATTTACGCCATTAATTGAGGACCTACTGAACAGTGCTTCCTCAACAGATGACCCATAGGACCCAGCAATCCCACTTCCGGCGGTGTAACCAAGAACGGAGAGCAGCGGCTCAAACAGAGGTGTGTCCCCCACGTTCAGAGCAGCATCACTCACAACTGAGAGGTGGAAGCTACCCACGTGTCCATCATGGCTGAATGGGTAAACAGAATGTGGTCCACCCACACTGTGAAGTACTACTCAGCCTTAAAAGGAAGGAAATTCTGACACGTTACACCACAAATGAAGCTTGAGGGCATCACGCTACAGGAGGAGAGGCAGTCACAGCAGACACACACTGTAAGATTCCCCTATCGGAGGCCCTAGGAGTCAGATTCATGGACAGAAAGTAGGATGGTGGCTGCCAGGGGCTGGGAGAGAATGGACAGTTTTGCAAGATGAAAAGTAATTCTGGGGATGGCTGGCAGTGATGATTGCATAACAAGGTGCCACCGACCTGTATGTTATATATGTTTTTGAAATTCTTTAAAAATTACATGTGACTCAGTGGTTGAACGTCAACCCAGGAACCAGGTCGCTAGTTCGATTCCTGATCAGGACACGTTTCCATCTTCTTTATCCCTCTCCCTTCCCCTCTCTCTAAAAAAAAATAAAATTTTAAAAAATACAAAATTACATGTGAAAAGAGACTTTGTTTCTTCAGGTCCTGGAATCAAGCAGCAAACCAGGACCTGCTGTGGGATCTGCCACAGACACGCAGCTCGGATCACGTAGGCATTTGAACTTGACCGCCTCCGGAAGGAACCGTGCTCTCCAGGCAGCCTGAGCTCCAGACTCCATCACCTCACCTGCCTGGCTGGCTGTTGGAGGCGCCTGAGGTTGGAACAGAGACTGAAGGAAGAGAATCTGCAATGCCTGTTACTTTGCTCGTGACCTCTGCCGCCCCAGGCCTGGGGCTCTGCATGGGCGGAGCTGGTGGGAGTCAGGTAACAGGACACGGAGGACAGTGACGTGTATCACGAGTCCCCTCTGCATCCCAAACCCATGTTGTCAGTGGGGGCCCAGATGACCAGCTCTGGACAATAAACCATTAGCAGAAGCGGCCTGTGTGCTGTGGGGTTACTGGGCTGAAGCAACAGGTGCTGCCCCCCAGGGTGGAGCCTTCCCTGGCCTGGGTCCCCAGCAGACAATGCTAAAAGCACAGGCCCCAATGCTTCATGACGGAAAGGTAGTGCGAGCAAGTCAGCAAGAACTAAGCCTTTTTGAATCCCTGAGATCTGGGGATCATTTGTCACTGCACTAGAACCTTGCTTTATCCTCACACACATAGTGTATGATGGGAAGAGAGGGTTACCACGGAGACCGCAGCCCTAGATCCACACTCTATGCTGAGAAACCTCAGAGAAAGCACATGCTCCGCCTGGGCTTCGGTCCCCCATGTTAATCTTAGAAAAACAGGAACTTTGTATTGTTCGGCCGAGGGAAGGAGACAGGTGCTGCGTGCTCACTGCCAGCCTCACCGCCTGGCCCTCCGGCCCCCGTCTGATCTCTCGGGGTCACCCACGGCTTCCAGGGCTGGACGCAGGAACCTCAGGGAGCCCCTTGATAAATGGATCCGGTGTCAGGAGCCAAGAAGGGGTGAGCTTGCTCACTCCCCTCACAACTTCAGCTTCCTCTTCAGGAACAGCCTGAGACCCGAGCTCCTGGCTGAGATGGTTTTTAAACTGACCTTGACCTCAGCCTATCTTGGGAGCCCTCACCCACCTAGAAGGCCCCTCCCCAGAGTTGGGAGCTGCACCGGGCACTGGACCACCCACTCAGCACAGACTGTGGGAAGTGTCTCCCAGGTGAGGGGGGCGGGCGGAGGCCAGGGCATCTCCCGGGCACAAAGGACATCACAGGACAGACTCGACACACGTGGGAACCTGGAGGTGCCGACAGCACCGGGCTTTATTTCCAGACACAGCGGACAGAACGCCCTGACCTCCCACCGTCACCCCTTCTGAGCCCAGGAAGGAGACAGGCCTGGGCCCACCCACCGGCCCCACCGGGGAGGGCAGGGCCTGAGTCCACCTCTGGCTGAGGCCGGGCAGGGCTCCCCCCTCACGGGCGCTCCTGCCCGAGGGAAGAGGCCGGAGGCGATGTCCTCAAAGGGGCCGGCCCTCAGGTTGTCCTCCAGGGTGCGCGGGCGGGGCTGGGGCGCCTGAGGTTCGGACCAGATCGGGGTGGGGGACGGGACCCGCGCTGGTTGGGCCTGGGTGGTGGATAAGATGGTGTCAGAGAGCCACCCCAGTTCCAGCCTCATCCCCTTCAGGATCTGAGAGTCCGGGTCACCTTGGGAGGGATGGGGCAGCCCGCGGGGAGTGCTGGATCCTGGAAGGTGCCTTGGGTCAGGGCCAGGAGATGGGCCCCTGCAGGGAGACCCCCAATCCTGTCCCCAAGACCCCGCAGTCCCCAGGCTCCCTCCAGGCCCCCGCCCCTCCCAGGGGCCCCACACCATACCGGGTGGGAAGGGCCGGGGGACCGCTGCTGGTGCTGGGCCTTGGCGGTGACACAGGACCAGAGGTCCAGGCTCTGGGGGCCGGAGCTTTTCTCGGACTTTGGAGGGAGAATATCCCAGCCCAGCAGACAGTGCTGTGGAGGAAAAGGGGTCAAGGCCTCAAATAATCCTGGTATCCCCTGGAGACGGAGGCTCCCCCAGGGCAGGGGCTGTGTCTACCCACTGGGCCTCCCTTTTCCTGACCCTGTTGGCCCAGGCCCTGACCCAGACTGGTGGGAGGAGGGAAGGCTGCGAACACTGACGGAGCACTTCCTGTGCGCTGGGCTCTGCCCCACGCACGGGGACTGGTACTGATTCACTCAACGCCCCACCTCACCACACCAGCCTGAGGACAGTACGCTGTGCCCATTTTACAGATGTGCAAACCGACTCTCCTTGGCATCCCTTCTCTTCCCCCAGGCCCAGCTCCCCCAGGAGTGACGGGGGTCCCTGACACGGGAGACACGTTATGGGAGGCGCTATGGAAGCACAAGGGCTGGGGTTCCAATCCCAGCTCTTCCACCTGCTGCCCTCGGACCGCCTCCGCCCCCTGCCTCCGTGTGCTCCTCCATAGAGGGCGGCGGCAGAGCCTGCGCTCCCGGCTGCGTGGGGCTCCGTGAGACGATGCTCCTCAGCACTGCGCACCCACACGAGAGCTCAGTGCACGGCCCATTCACACCAGCGTGCGGCAGGCACTCCTGGATGCCAGGGTGTGGGTGGGTGCCCCACGCCCCGGAATAAGCAGAGCACAGTGATGGAAGTGGCCTGGTCCAGGTGCTCAGCCTCGCTGGGTGGACTTGGCACAGTCCCTTGGCACAGTCTCTGGGCCTCGGGCTCCATCTGGGGCCCCGGGCCAGCCCCACCTCCCCCCACCCAGTCTCCCCGTGGCCGCTCACCCGGGGCAGGGCCAGCGTGTCGGAGGCGTCGAGGCTCTTCCGCCGGTGGATGCGGTAGCGGTGGGGCGGGTCCAGGACGGACTGTGGGATGCTCACCCTGGGGTGGGGGGCAACAGTGGGGGCATTGGCGCAGAGGTTTCCTGGCTGCAGTGGGGTCACAGCCCCAGGCCCATCTTTCCGTCCCTCACACCGGGGGCTCCAGGCTCTGACTCCCTCCTCAGCTGCCGCTGCCCCCAGGTGCCCTGCTCTGGTCACTCACCGGACCTGCGCTGGGTCTGCCAGCGTCTTAGGGCCCCGCTGGTCCCGGGGTGTCCTGCACAGGCGGCAGGGGGCGCCGGGGTCCGAGGGCACCAGGAACAGACGCCGGTTGACACGGTAACAGAACACGCCTGGAGGCCCGCAGAAGCAGGTGCCTCAGCTGCAAGCCTAATCCCGGGCCCCTTGCTGCCCCGACCACACAGGCCCGCCAACCCTGCCAACCGCCCCCCTCACACTCACCGGTACATGTGTGCACACACAGAGCGTGCACGCAGACTTATGCTCACACACAACACTGTGCCCATTTTACAGATGTGCAAACCGACTCTCCTTGGCATCCCTTCTCTTCCCCCAGGCCCAGCTCCCCCAGGAGTGACGGGGGTCCCTGACCCGGGAGACACGTTATGGGAGGCACTATGGAAGCACCACTTCCTCAAGCTGGACACATGTGTGCACACAAACGCACACTGGCCGGCACCTTTGCACGTGGAAATGTCACGTGTGCAAACACAAAGCATGGCTTTAGTCACATTTGTGGACACATGCACGTGCCTATATTTGCAGTCTCACACACACAGGGTGCACACAGAGTCCTGTTCACATGAACATCCCTTACACACATATGCACAGTGTGCGCTACACATGCAACTCACAGCAGACTTATGTGCTGTGACTGAGCCGGGACCCTCCCCCCACAGGCAACACATATGGAGAGAGGAGGGCATGGGAGAGGGAGCACACAGGAAATGGGGCAGCTGAGAAGCAAACGAAGGCTGAGGCGGAGCGGGAGTCAGAGTGACACAGGCTGACCCTAATGCCCAGGAGGCAGGGCCTCGGCTCCCTCCCTTCCCCGCCAGGGCCTGCTCTGCCCTGTCCAGACACCCAGCCTCCCCTCCCTCATCCCCAACGCCCAGCCGCCTCCCCAGGCCCCCCCCCCTCCGACCTCGGGGGGCTCCGGGGCGGCCCGCGGGGCTTACACTCACATTCGTGGTCCTCCGGGCCGCTGTCGCTCCCCCGCCGGCCTGGGAGCTGGGGTCTAGGAGAGCGAGAGGGTGAACAGGCCAGCGACAGGGAGGGTCCCTGCGCCGCCTGCCCACCGCTGGCCTGCCCCTACTCACTCGGGCTCCCTGTGCATACACTCCTCCTTGTTGGCCTCCCGGAACGCCTGCAGCTCCGAGAAGAAGGCCTCGGGCTTGCTGCTGATGGGCGAGCGGTTGTCCAGGGACCCTGAAGCGGCAAAGCACGGGGGGCTGCTGGGCGGCCGCTGGCCAAGGCTCAGTGGACACTCAGTGCCGGCTCCCAGTCCGCCTGCTTTGTCCCCACCGGGCCTCGCAGACCTGAAGGGACCCTCCACTCACGGAGCCTGTTGGTTTTGTGGGTGTCCACCCACCCTGATGCATATCCAACCGACTAAGCAAACAGTGTTACAGAACCCCTGCCATGGGCCAGACGCTGTTTAAGTGCTGGGGAGAGAGCAGTGACCTAGACAAGCTCCCGCTCTCCCTCACTAATATGGCGGCAACAAACTGGCCACCTGAGAAGCATGCGGTACAACACTGAGGGGGGGACGTGTGCCAGGAAGAAGAGAGCAGAACCAGGGAGCCCAGCTGGTTAGGGCAGGGGGTGTCAGGGGAGGCCTCTCTGAGGAGGTGACAGCTGGAAGGGGGGAGGGAGCCGCGCAGCCATCTCAGGCAGAAGAGCAAGTGCAAAGGTCCTGGGGCAGAGGTGTAAGTGAGGAACAGCCAGTCGGTGCAAGTGGCTAGAGGGAAGGGATGAGAGTGGAGGAGATGAGGCTGGGAAGCCCGCAGAGGGTGTGGGGACCAGGAGTGGCATACTCAGATCGGCATGTGTTTTTACCCTCAGGCTGCTGTGAGGTGGGAGACAGGGGCACCGGTCTGAAGTGACCACGGGCATCCTGGCAGAGAGAAGTGGTCAGAAGCTAGCAATACGCTGAAGGCAGGGCTACCAGGGTGTGCTGGTGGGCTGGGAGAGGAGTATGTGAAAAAGAGGCATGGGAAGCCGGGACCGGTTTGGCTCAGTGGCTAGAGTGTTGGCCTGTGGACTGAAGGGTCCCGGGTTCGATTCCGGGCAAGGGCATGCACATTGGTTGCGGGCTCGTCCCCGTAGGGGGCGTGCAGGAGGCAGCTAATCGATGGTTCTCTCTCATCAATGTTTCTAACTCTCTATCCCTCTCTCTTCCTCTTTGTGAAAAATCAATAAAATATATTTAAAAAAAAAAAAAAAAAAAAGGAGGCATGGGAATCAAGGTCGATCCCAAGGTTAGGACCTGACCAATAATTGGGCACTTAGAGCTGCCGTTTGCAAAGACAGGAAAGACTGCAAGTGGGAAGAAAACCCTCACCTTGATTCTGGACATGAAAGCAATCTAAGACACTGCATGTGCCATACAGAGAAGACAGCCAGATACAGAGTCTAGAACTCAGAGGAGGGGGTGGGCCAGACATAAAGACAGGAGAGTCCAGGCAACACTCAAGCACGGTCTCTGTGCCTGTCCCTGTACCAGGAGCTGATAGAAGGTGCTCACCACCAAGGGCGGGACATTCAGACACGCTAGGCAGCACAGGGTGGGGGCTCAGGCAGGGGTGCAGGCAAGCTGGGGCCTCCTCCTCCAGCCCCCTCCCAGGCAAGGCGTGTGCATGGGGCGGGCCACACCTGCAATCCAGTCATAGCCCAGGTAGGGTCTGAGGCGCCAGCTCCTCTCGGGCACTGGAGATTCCTTGTTGAAGGTCACACTCAGCTGACAAGGCAAAGACACAGGGTTAGACCAGCAGGACAGGCCTGAAGGAGGCCCCAGCTTAGGGGAAGCAAAGGGGTTGTGTCTTAACTTCCACGCTGATGTGGGCCCCAAGGCTTAGCTGAGGCCTCTTTTTATTGATAGATAATGTGTTTGGTCCCCGCCCCTTTCTATGTGTGACTCTGAATAAGTGTGACCTCAGCCTCGGTCTTGCCATCTGTAGAATGGGGTTCCTCGCCTCCTTCCCAAAGTGCCGTCTGAGGAACTAACCACCACCACTTACCCAGCACTGAGGCTGAGCTGGATACAACTTGTGGCATCTCCTGGACAACCTCTCGCCTCGCACAGGAGGCTGCCCATGAGAGCAGTTGTCAGACAGGGAAACTGAGGCTCAAGGGATCGCCCACGGGTGGATGCCCCTCTCTCCCACGTTACCTTGGGCAGCTTTCTCTGTTGACCCTGGAGGGACCTCGGGGCCCATGCCTCCGGCGCTGTGGATCGCTCCGAGTCATCCGAGTCTGGGGTGGCCAGCAGCGGTGCCCCGCAGGGCCTCAGGGGCTCCTTGGCAGGTGGGAGGGAGGTCACCCCCGAGCTGGTCCCTCCAAGAGAGGACATGTCGCAGGAGTCACCTTCGCTGGCATCCCGTGGGGAGGAGGTTCTCTGGGCCGCTGAAGGCGTCTTTTGGGACAAGGACATCTCTGAGTCACGGCTGCTGCTGGCGTCCGCGTTTGACTAGAAGAGAGAGGCCAGGTCACCAGCCACCTCCCTGCCTGGCATGCACTAGGCATAAAGGCCTGAGTTCCTGCTCCAGCCTCTGCTGCCCAGTCCAGTCCCTCCCCTTGCTGGGCCTCAGTTTTCTCATCAGCAATGGGCACGCTGCACAGGACAACCCTGGAGGCCTGGGTTCTGGCCTAGGGTCAGTAGCACGCCCCTCCTCCTCCATCCTCTGGGAGTTCCCAAGGTGAGCACCCACCTCTGAGGCCGCCTTGGCCACCGACCGCCGCATGGCATCCTGCCTGGCCCACAGCTGCCTCAGCAGCTCCAGGTTGAGCTGCCGCAGCTGCGCCAGGTCCTTGATCTCCACCGTCCCGGGCATAGCGTCTGGCTTCCCGCAGCGATGTCGGATGTCGCCAACTCCCGGCTGCAGAGCCCTCAGGGCTGAGTTCCAGACCCAGCTCTGCCACCTGCAGCCAAGACAGCAGGACACAGGGCTGAGGAGGCTGCCGGTGGAGTCAGGGGCCTGGGTCCCAATCCCTCCACTTTGACACTCCCCAACTGTGCAGCCTCAGATAAATAAGTTAACCTTCCTCTGCCTCCGTTTATCTGCCAAATGAGATAACAGTATCTACCTCATAAGGATATTGTAAGGATTAAATGAGGTAATACATGTTACATGTTTGCTTGTTTTTAATATATTTTATTGATTTTTTACAGAGAGGAAGAGAGAGAGATAGAGTTAGAAACATCGATCAAGAGAAACATCGACCAGCTGCCTCCTGCACACCCCCTACTGGGGATGTGCCCGCAACCAAGGTACATGCCCCTGACCACAGTCGAACCATAGTCCGCAGGCCGACGCTCTATCCACTGAGCCAAACCGGTTAGGGCTGCATGTTACATCTTGATACAGGTCCTGGCACACAGCACGTATGCAATAAATGTCTGTTATTATTCCTCTGGTCAGTGTGTTTTTTTAAAAGCCCAAAGAGAACAATCGCTCTTTAACGGCTTGAACTAAGACAGTACACCAGTTTGACTTACAGAAAATAATGAGGGCAATTCCACAAATGTAAGGCTTTATAACTTGTGAATCCAACACATCCCAGGCTCCTGCACAGACTCTCCTCTCTCCTGCCCATTCTTCCTGCTTCCTTTTCTTTTTATAAATGAAGAAGCTAACGTTCAGAGAAGTTAAGCAACTTGCCCCATATCACACAGCCAATAAGTGGCAAAATCAGTATTTGAACCTAAATCTAGTTCCAGGATCCACAGTCACCTTTCCCCAGGAGTGTGGAGAGGGGCCTGAAAAGCTGCCTCCTATTTCCCGTCTTTGCCTCCCCCTCCCCCACCTTCCCCAGGGATCCAGGCTCAGGGATACACAGATGCCTCTGGAAGGAGTTTCTGCAGGCTAGGGGAAGGGGCTCCCCACTTCCCTCAGGTCCCCAAGGCCGGACTCCCCGGAACAGAAAGTCTCTCTCAACACACACTATCCCTGTTCAACCCTGGGTCGTCTGACAGGCACCTCAGAAACTCTGCCCACCCACACCCTTCGCCTGTGGACCGCCCACACCGGGGTGGGCATGGGGCCTCCTCAGTGCCCTAAAGCAGAGAGAAGCCAGACTTACACTGGACACCCTACCCCTCACACAACCCGCAGGGAAGGGGGTACAGAGGAGATGCGAGGACTCTCCTATGCAAGCTCAGCAAACAGCCAGATCCGTGGGACCGGAAGTCCCGGCGCCCGCCCTCATCTGGTCAGATTCCCTAGGGCCTAGCCGGTTTGGCTCAATGGATAGAAAGAATATCAGCCTGCGGACTGAAGGGTCCGGGTTTGATTCCGGTCAAGGGCACATACCTCCATTGCAGGCTCGATCCCCAGGCCTGGCTGGGGTGCGTGGGAGAGGCAAGCAATTGATATGTCACTCTCACATGGATGTTTCTCTGTCTCTCCCCCTCCCTCCCACTCTCTAAAAATAATAACAACAAAAGAGAACAGCCTGCAACGCCCTCCTTCCGGCTTCAAGCCCGATTTGAAAAGCTAAAAGCTAACAATAAAGTATTTTTTTTAAATAAGGAACGTTTTTTTAAAAATTGGTGGGAAGAAAAGAAAAGCTAAAAGCTGCGCAAATGCAACAGGAAGGCAAAGTTCAAAAGAGAGATGGGTAGCAAAAGCCGGGGGGACGTCGGGGCGGGACCCCGGGAAAGGGAGACTCAGCCTACCTACCTTAGCACTTACAGGGAAACTCATCTTTCCCATCGCGCCCCGAACCCCGCGAGGGCACACGCGGGGCCTCCAACCGAGCCCTCTCCCCCGCCCCCACCCCATCCCCGGCCTAGCCGCTCTGCACTCACAGCCCGGAAGCCACGGATCCGCGCCGCCGGACGCCGCCTGTGCCGGAAGAAGTTCCGCCCCGTGCACCCTACGTGACGTCACGTGGGCGGGGCCCAAAAGGCCGCCCTGATTGGTCAGGTGAGTGGCAGGGCCCAGACGCGCCTGGGAAGGTAACTCCGCGTTCGGAAGCGACAGTTTCAATATTTGGGCGGGACTTACAGCGTTTCTCAACAGCTGATTGGTCAATTCCCGAGGTCAGGGTGTTCGGAATGGGACGGGCTCCTGGGAGGCTGGCTGTGTCACGTTTGGCGCAGGCAGGTTCAGAGGCTGCCCCGAGGCTGCTCCTAAGCTGTGGGATGCAGCTGTGGGGCTTTAACCTGGGCGAGTGCGGTTGATTCGAGAGGCTGGCGAATCATTCTTTCATACTTTTTCTTTTTTTTAAATATGTTTTTATTTATTTCACAGAGGAAGGGGGAGGGAGAGAGAGAGAAACATCGATGATGAGAGAGGATCATTGATCGGCTGCCTCCTGCACGCCCCTTACTGGGGATTGAGCCTGCAACCCAGGCATGTGCCCTTGACCAGAATAGAACCAAGGACCCTTCAGTCCTCAGGCTGACACTCTAGTCACTGAGCCAAACCAGCTAGAGCTCTTTCATACTTTTTCTTTCAAATATATTTTTTATTGATTTCAGAGAGGAAGGGAGAGGGAGAGAGAGAGATAGAAACATCAATGATAATAATCAATCATTGATCGGCTGCCTCTTGCACGTCCCCTACTGGGGATCCATCCCTGAACCGGGCATGTGTCCTGACCAGGAATCAAACCGTGACCTTCTGCCCTAGCTGGTTTGGCTCAGTGGATTGCACATAGTCCTGTGGACTGAAGGGTCCCAGGTCAAGGGCATGTACTTTGGCTGTGAGCACATACCCAGTGGCGGGGTGGGGGGGGGGGGGGGGAGTGTGTGCAGGAGGCAGCTGATTGATGTTTTTAAATCTCTGTAAGAAAAAAAATCAATAAAATATATATATATATATATATTTTTTTTTAAAAACCGTGACCTCCTGGTGGATAAATCAAAGCTCAACCACTGAGCCACACTGGCCAGGCCTTTCATCCATTCTTTAAAACATTTATCGTTCCTATGCAGTGGGAGGCAGGTTAGAATTAAGAGGGGGCCCTACTTGGAGGAGCAGGTTAAGAAGTGGATACAGTCTGTAAAATATAAGTAAATTTAAATAGAGTGCCTACTATTCACCAGGTATTTTCCCAGCCTCATAAACACGCTTTAAGGTGTGTGGGTGTTGTTGTTGTTTTAATTTATTAAGAGAGAGAGAAAAAGGGAAGGGGGAAGAGAGAGAGAAGAGCATTGATTTGTTGGTCCACTTATTAATGCACTCATTGATTGCTTCTTGTATGTGCCCCAACGGGAGACTGAACCTGAAACCTCAGCGGGCTGAGGGACTCCTGGTATTGGCACTTTCCAGGTGGGATTGAGATCCCTACCCCGACCTGGCCCCATCATGAGAGGACTTACGCAGGGGTTACCTTAGTCGGCATCCCGTGAGGAGAAGGTTCTCTGGGCAGTAAGGACATCCACACAGAGACTTGTGCATGAATGCTCCTGGCAGCATTATTCATAATAGTCACACATAAAAAAGGAAACAATTCAAATGTCCATCAACTCACAAATGGGTAAACTAAATCTGGTATATCCATACCAGTGGGAACTATCACTAAAAAAGGAAGAAAGTACTGGCACATGCAAAACATAGATGAACCTCATAAGCAACTCGTAGGCATTTAAGCAAGGGGAAAAAATTGTCCATATAAAGACTTGCATATGAATGCTCGCAGCAGCTATATCGTAAATGCAAATATCTGTCAAGAGGTGAGTGAATAAACAAATTGTGGGATACAAATGACACTTGCCCGGCTGGTGTGGCTCAGTGGTTGAATGTTGACCTATAAACCAACAGATCAAGGTTGAATTCTTGGTCAGGGCACATGCCCAGGTTGCAGGCTCGGTCCCCAGGAGGCAGCCAATCAATGATTCTCTTCCATCATTGATGTTTTTCTCTCTCTCCCTCTCCTTCCCGCTTCTCTAAAACAACAACAACAACAAAAATTTTAGTCAACTATTTTTTTTTTAAAGTGCCCAATGCAAGGCACCATTCTTTCCTCCCTGGAAAGTTGTAGCCACCTCCTATCCAGTTTCCCTGCTTCTATCCTCATCTCTCTCATCCACTCTCTAGCAGCCTGGGACTTAGGATGTCAGTCAGCTCATATCACTCCTCTGCTCAAGATTCCAATGGCCTCTCCCTCACTCACAGCAAGAGTCAGTCCTCACAGTGGCCTGCCAGACCCCAGTCCACCCTGATTCCTTTTCACACTTTATCTGCTACACAAACTACTCCCCACCTCCCTCTCTCTGCTCCAGAGTCTCATTTTGTTCCTTGAAGATATTGGACTTGCTCCCACCTCAGACCCTTTGCACATGCTGGTCCCTCTTCCTGGAATGCCCTGTCCAGATATCTACAGGGTTTTATTCAGATGTCTTCTCAGTGACACTCATCCCATTCCCACACTACCGTTACACCCTCCCCCCCTTCTCTGCCTCATAACAGCCCTCACCTTCTGATATTGTGTCTTTCACTGGGGGTTTTTGCCTGTTGCCTGCCTTCCACCACTAGCACGCAAGCTCCATAAAGGCAGGGATTTTTGTCCACCTCACCCACTGCTGTACCTCCAGCGCTCAGAACCGTTCTTGCTAGCACATCATGTTCTCTCAAACGCTCTGCTGAACGAACGGGCTTTCTCATTTCTAGAGGCAAACGGACCGCTTGGGGTTTTGCAGTGGCTGGGTTCACGCATACAAACGTGACGCATGGCGAGCCCTCAGCAAAAGCTGCCGTTGGTCCCAACCTCACTCAGAGTCTGACTCAGAGGCAGAAGGCAGCTCTGGAGGACAGTGAATGTAGCTGGCGCCTGTGAGGAGGGCCCAGCCTTGAAACCTGGGTGAAACCTCTCTGTGATTAAATGGGGACACTGGTACTGGGGGGCCAGCAGTTCCCTGCCTCTCAGATTTCCCAAAACTCGCGGTGGGCAGATGAGTAGCTTTGGAGACCACAGGCATGAGCCTTGCCTTGCTGGGAAGGATGAACGAGATGGTGGTGAGTGAGGCAACAGAGTGTAGACACTCTTCTCAAATGCAGGTGGTCACCCAGGAGTAGCTAGTGAACAGGGAGCAGGGTTGCAAACAGCGGCTTCAGGAGAAAATGCCTGTGGGTTGCAGGCAGAGAAATGACTGGTTTAAAATGTTTGGTTTCACCTACACAGACGTGTGTCCAGGATAATGCTGTGTACCTGCCTGTGGGTCAGGATGAGCAGTTTGAAAGCCCCCGGCTTCGGGGAAACTAGGTCTTGGACTCCATCACCCCAGCTGCTGAGATTGGAACACTTGGAAGCCCCTAGAAACCTCTAGAAGTTTCCAGTAGCCTTTGCTGCGTCCCCCACACGAGAGAGCTGATAAATGGGTGGACTGTGCCCAGGACAGGATTCGTTAGCTCAGCAAGTGTGCACCGAGTTCCGGTTCTGAGCCAGGCACTGGTTTAGATGCGTGGCACACATCAGTCAAAAAAAACCTCTGCCCTTCAGAACGTACGTTCTAGCGGGGAGAGGCACGCACATTACATGTTAGAGGATAACTACTTAGAAAAACATGTTACGCGTGTTGTGGGGTGAGAGTACTCCGAAGTGCTGGGGATCGGGGAAGGAGAGGCGGCTTTGAGGAAGGTGTTCTGGGTAAACCCCATGAGGTAACACTTCAGCAGCCTTGGACATAGAGGAGTTAGTAAGCTCCGGTGAGATCCGGAAGAACAGGCGAGGGTCAGGGAGGGCAGAGGCCCTGAAGGAGAAGCGTGCTGAGCAATTTCAAGAAACAGCAAGGAGCCGGTGTGGCTGAAGCGGAGGCAGCCGAGAAGGGAGGGCGGTGGGAGACAGCGCAGACCCCAAAAGGCCACTTGCAGGGTCTTGGCCTCCTTCTGGGTGGAGCAGGGAACCAGAACAGTGTTTCCAGCAGAGAAGCAGCACGGTCTGAGCTCTACTTCAAATCTCTAGCAAGGTCCCCCTGGTTGCTACCGGGACACAAACACAAGAGGGCCAGGGTGGGAGGAAGGGCTGAGGCAGGGGGCAGTAACCTGGGTCCGAGGAGTGGTATTTTTGTGTGGAGGGAAGTGCTATGTGTATTTTGAAGACAGAAACTGGCACATTATAGACAAAGACAACAGCATGGCAATCAGCAGAGGGGGAGGGGGTGGGAAGACTTGGGGTGATGGACACACACTGTACAGATGATATATTTTATAGAACTGTACCCCTGAAACCTGTATAATTTTATGCACCAATGTCACCCCCAATAAATTCATTTCAAAAAGGAAGAAAAAGAAAACCTGCCGGGTTTAGATGCAGCATGTGACAGTGGAGTCCAGGATGATGCCCGGTTTGTGGCCTGGAGCCTGGCAGTGGAGGAGGCTGCCACCCGCCACGCCATGGAGGCCTCTGAAAGAGACCAGCAGAGCAGGCGGTGGAAGGGCACTGCCCAGGGGCTGGGTGGTGGCCCAGGAAACTGACTCGTCATGCCCAGCCACTGCGGAGGGCCCTTCACAGAAAGAGAAAAGGTCACAACCAAGTTCTCAGAAAGCAAGCTAGGGCAGGCCAGGCTGAGTCATGACTTAAGTCAAAAATGAGCGGCTCAGAGTTATAGTGAAATCTGTAAAGAAATCACTCGATTTCCTGGTCCTTAGAGATAAGCTACGCCTTTGCTCTTCTGAGGGGACCAGATTCCTTCCAAGAGTGAGGAGGAACCGCAGGCCGATTACGGAGGGAACTTCCCAGGTGAAGGTCATTTTATTTTTTATTATCACTAGTGGCCCTCCGCACAAATCTGTGCACCAGTAGCTCTCTGCGGGGCCTGGCTGCTCTGCGCCTGCGGCCTAGAGGCTCTCCGTGGCCCAGAGGCCACTGGCCAGGCGAGGAACACTTGCCTCGTTGCCACGGCGACGAAGCAAGCATCCACTGTGCCTGCTCTCAGCAGCCCTCACCCTCACCCCCTGCTCCCCCAACCTCTTCCCCTGGGGCTGGGGATTCCCGCAGGGCTGAGAGGACTGGGCGCCACCATCTTGTGGCTATGGGTGCTGCCATCTTTGTGACAGAGTGGCAGTTAGTTTGCATATTACTCTTTTATTAGATAGGCTTATTATTGTTAATCCTCACCCAAGAGAATTTTTTTCGTTGATTTTTTGAGAGAGTAGAAGGGAGGAAGGGGGAGAGGGAGAGAGATACATCAATTGGTCGCCTCCTCATGGGGACTGAACCTGCGACCCAGGTATGTGCCCTTGACCAGGAATCCAACCCTTGACCCTTTGGTGCTCAGGTCGATGCTCTAATCACTGTGCACACTGGCCAGGGCAAGGTCATGTTAAATACTAAGCTGCAGCCCTAACCAGTGTGGCTCAGTGGATAGAGCATCGGCCTGAGGACTGAAAGGTCCCGGGTTCGATTCCGGTCAAGGGCATGTACCTTGGTTGCGGGCACATCGCCAGCACAGGTTGTGCAGGAGGCAGCTGATGGTTTCTCTTTTATCGGTGTTTCCAATTCTCTCTCCCTCTCCCTTCCTCTCTGTAAAAAAAATCAGTAACATATATATATATATATATATATATATATATTTTATTTTATTTTTTTTTTAAGAATTATAGAACTGCTTAATTTTTTTTAATATATTTTATTGATTTTGTACAGAGAGGAAGGGAGAGAGATAGAGAGTTAGAAACTCCGATGAGAGAGAGTCATCGATCAGCTGCCTCTTGCACATCCCCTACTGGGAATATGCCCGCAACCAAGGTACATGCCCTTGACCGGAATCGAACCCGGGACCTTTCAGTCCCCAAGCCGACGCTCTATCCATTGAGCCAAACCGGTTTTGGCAGTAACATATATTTTTAAAAATATTAACCTGCAGACTCAGTTATGTCAGAGGGAGTTTGCAGAAGAATAGTAAACTGAGAAGATCCCACAAAGGGTTCCCAACTAGCTTTATTTTCATTTCCAATATGATCAGCAATGATACAGGAGCAATTCAGGCAAATATATCACCTTAAATACATCAGAGAAAAAACTCACTGCCAAGCAACGTCTCACTCCAGCAAATGAACATAAACACAAAAAACAGTCAGTCAGCAGCATTGCATTGGGTGTCTCTGCCACGCTTCCTTCAGAAAGTCCCCCTCGGTGGTACGTATTTCATCTTATTTATGGTACAGCTTCAAAGTTTCATTCACTGCCCAAGGGCTACATTAAAAAAAATTCATGTGTAGTTATATTAAATAATTCCCCCCCAAAGCCCAAGACTCGTCGGGATTGTGGGACACTGGTTCCCTGGCGCGCTGAGTGGCACCGTGCAGGCCTGCAGGACATGCGGCAGCCCTCCTACCGCTCTGTTCCACACCCCAGCGCAGGCTGCGGCTGGAGACCAGTGGGACCTGGAGGGGATGCCCTGCGTGGCCGCCCACGTGTGCAGAGACCATCAACTCACATCCTGACGCCAGAGAGCACGTAGACTCAAAAGGGCGGGACAAGCCCTGCCCCTCGCTGGAAGAGGGGCTCCTTCTTTCTAGCACGTTCTTTGACCTGCGCTGCAAAGGCTGTCCCCGAAGGCGGCCTGCCCAGACAGTTAACACTCTGGAGACAGGAACCTGCCCCCACTTTGACCACTAACAGTGGAAAGCTCGTCTCGAAGTTAACAGGAGGAAGCCACGCGTGTGGTGGGAGTGCAGAGCGGGCCCGGGGTTCCCACTGTCCTTGGCCAGCTGCAGCGTCACCGCAGACTCAGCCCAGAGGATGCTCGGCCGGGGCAGGTGGGCCAAGCTGGGGGTGGGACATGTCTCTTTAAGGGGCACAACGGGGATGCAATCAAGCTAGTGGGGTGACTCTCAGACCTCGTGGGCCCTCAGAGTGAGGTCTAATGGAGGGCCTTGCTCTGCTCCAACTCCACCTTCTCCGGCTGTCAAGAGGCCCACGCCCCCAGCCTGCCGCCAAGGCCCCCTTCCTGCCACGTCTTTCCTTCTGCCACATCCTTTAACAACCTGGACCGGACCCCCTCTCACTAACAATAAAACCAGACCACGCAGGCCAAGGACCGGAACTAGAACAAGGTTGACAACTAAGAGCAGGGAGGCACGTCCCTCTTCATCACGGTAACAGCCACCCCTCCGACAGCACAGGCATCAGGAGGGGCACAACCCTCCACACACAAGCTCCCCTAAACTATTCTCACCACCGCAAGCAAATCACCTCTGCAGCATCCTCCTCCCCCTCGTGGCTCAGGCCCACCTCACCCAAAATCCTGAGCCCCATCATCAGCGCGTGCCCGAGAGCTCTGCGCGGACAAAACACGGAAGCTGAAGGACCGGCTGACACAAGCCAAGTCCTTCTGGGACAGAACCATGCCGATGCGATCGGGGAGAAAGTCCAGGCCTTCCCTAGAGTGGCCCTTTCCTGCAGGCGTGCTGGGCCGGCGTCAGTGTTGGCGGGAGGAGGGTGTGCAGGCTCCGAGCAGGCATGCGGTGAGGCTGGGAGCCAGGGCTTTACAAGCACCCAATGATGCTCAGACAAGTGACTCTGACAAAGCAGAGACTCCACTTGATTCCTCGGTGTCACGTCGTTGAAAAAGTCTCCTCTAGGGTGTGAGCCGGAAAATCTCCCTGCAGCAGGCGAAGGAGGGGGGAAAGCGACTAGTGTTTAAGGGCTCAAAACGGCGAGACACTGGTGCTTCCTTCTCACGACGGCGGCCGGCCAGGAGCAGCCCTGGGGCGCCCCCGCGGCTGGCACTGCCTTCTCCACGCCGGCTCCGCTCCGGCTGCACTATCTGCTGGGCTGCAGGTACTGGTGCATGAACATGTTGAGTTCACTGTCCATCCAGCCACCTTTATTCCTGCAGAGAAAGGATTGTGCAGAGATAATAGTTGATTATAATAGGTAATGTTAGCATTATATGCCAAGCTCTGTTCTTGGCACAAACCTAAGGTGACCAGATTTTAACACTGGTAAAGCGGGACACCATTTTCTTGGGGGGGGGGGGGGTTCCTCTGATTAAAAATTTGGTCTATATGGAGCAACAAAAATTTTCATAAAACGCAAAAATAGTATTGTAATATATTTTTTTAAATGTCAATGTAAGTACAATTTACAAATATAATAAATAAAATTATGTTCAGTATTATTTTATTCTTTGGCATATTTCTCATTTTAGTGAATTTTTTTAGTAGAATGCTGTCATTGTTTAAAAGGTCATGAAGCTGAAACCGGTTTGGCTCAGTGGATAGAGCATCGGTCTGCGGACTGAAAGGTTTCAGGTTCGATTCCGGTCAAGGGCATGTACATTGGTTATGGGCACATCCCTGGCAGGGGGTGTGCAGGAGGCAGCTGGTCGATGTTTCTCTCTCATTGATGTTTCTGGCTCTCTATCTCTCTCCCTTCCTCTCTGTGGAAAATCAATAAAATATATTTAAAAAAATAAATAAGCCGAAACCGGTTTGGCTCAATGGATAGAGCGTCGGCTTGGGGACTGAAAGGTCCCGGGTTCGATTCCGGTCAAGGGCATGTACTTTGGTTGCGGGCACATCTCCAGTAGGGGGTGTGCAAGAGGCAGCTGATCGATGACTCTCTCTCGTCGATGTTTCTAACTCGCTCTCTCTCTCTCCCTTCCTCTCTGTACAAAATCAATAAAATATATTAAATAAATAAATAAATAAATAAATAAATAAATAAATAAAAGGTCATGAAATTTTTCACAAGAATTTGTTAAATTATATTTCACACATAAAATGGCTTTCAAAGTCTCAACACTTAATTGTGATTTTTCTGATATCCACACTTTATTTACCATAGAAAAAAACGTGTTCAGTCGCAGCATTAGTTCCTGGTAAGGACAACGCGTATTCCACAATTCTAACAACTGATCAACAATGCGAACTTTGATAAGCAGTTCTCGATAATCAGTTCTCAACAAAATTATTTGTTATTAAAGTTTAACATTATAAAATTAACAAAAATAATATAAAACTCATATCCTGGCTAAATAGCCACGTGGCTGCCGAAAACTGTATATTCCCTTCCCGTTCTCTCGCGGTTCCCTAGCTTGTCATGAATTCTTTTAAAAAATCGCGACTTTGCCGGGACCGGTTTGGCTCAATGGATAGAGCGTCGGCTTGGGGACTGAAAGGTCCCGGGTTCGATTCCGGTCAAGGGCATGTACCCTGGTTGCGGGCATATCCCCAGTAGGGGGTGTGCAAGAGGCAGCTGATCGATGACTCTCTCTCATCGATGTTTCTGACTCTCTATCTCTCTCCCTTCCTCTCTGTACAAAATCAATAAAATATATTTAAAAAAAAAAAAAAAAAAAATCGCGACTTTTTTAAAACACCTTGGGATGCGGGACAAATTGCTAAAAATCGGGACTGTCCCACCAAAAGCGGGACATCTGGTCACCTTACACAAACCCCTACAAAAAACCCCTTCTTACACACGAGGAAAATGAGACTTTCCAAGCTGCAAGCTGTTGTCTGCTTCGCCCTGGGACCACAGGCCAGGCCCTGAACTGGTGGGAACTCTTGCTTCCCTACCTGTCTGTTTCAGTCCATCCTGTCCCCCGTGGCTGACAAGCAGCAGACGCTCCCCACATGCACCTGCTAGCTCCCAGGGGATGAGTACGTCCCTGGAAAATGGCTGCCCCGGGGGTGGGCGGGAGGGCACAGGGACCCAGTCAGGGGAAGGGAAGTCTACTTCCCTGAGTTGGAGCCTGTGACCAAAGACAAAGCTCCTGGGGTGCTGCCCCCTAGGGGCGAAGGCAGGAAGTACAAGGTCCCCCGTGAACTGATGCTCTATCAGGCTAAGCACACACATTCAGCTCTGTGGCTGTTGCATGAAACCTTACTATTTACAGATGGGAACAGTGAGGCGCACAGAAGCTCAGTGATTGGCTGGAACACGAGTGCCTGGACCAGAACCCAGGACCCCTGGCTCTTCAGATCAATATTCTCTCTAGCAAACTCTGTTTTGACTGACCCTGTGCAGATCTGGGCTCCCAACTGATTCCTGCGTTACCTGTGACCTAACAGCTTCCCTATGGGTAAAATGCTGGCTTCCCCCTTCGTGAGCTCAGAGAGAAACGGACTGAAATGCGGCAGGGGCCTAGCCCAGTGTCCGCAGCACACAGTGGGCAGTCAAGGACAGGAAAGGATGCTGAACGCTGAGCAGAGCAGCGCATGTCAAGTGCCCAAGACGCTCCAGCTGAGAAGGTGCCAGTGAGCTGTAACCCTCTGGCCCCAGCCCACCTGGTTCCTTGGCTGCCACCACGGCCATCACTGCCGGTGCCTGGGGGACAGTGCTGGCACCACACCTGGCATCCCAGGTGCCGGGCAAAGGTCTTACAGGGAACAAGCTAAATCCCCGCCAGGAGATGTGTGTTCACGCCACACACCACGGCCCAGGCCTCCCCGCCCAGGCCTCCTCACCTGAGCAGCTTGGCTTTGCTCTGAAGTGAAACCAGAACCTCGATTTTCTGGTTCATGGCAGCAATCTCCTGCTCTAGGTTCTCCCGGGTGACATCCACTTGCTGGCACAAATGAGCAAACGTCCCAGACAGTTCCCTAGGAGGAGAGCCGGGATCAACGGGGCAAAGTGGCTGTTTTATAGAACGAAGCTGGTGACTAAATCCAACCCACCCAGAGGAGGGCAGCCGCCAGGCCTGTCACCTGCTGGCAGCTCTGCCCGGCGCCAGGCCTGGTTTGGTAGAACCCTCCCTGCCCCACGCTGAGTCCTGCACTTCACCACCGTGAGGAACCAGCAGCGCAGGGCTCCCAGAGCTTGAGACCAAGATTCAGATCTTGGCTCTGCTGCTATGTGACTGGGGACAAGTGACTCCTCTTCAAGTCTCCATTTCTCCATTTCGAAAAAGCAAACGCCCAGAAAAATGCCTGCCTCTAAAGGGTGGGAGGAGCCAATGCCTAGCAAAGGGCCTGCCACACGGCAGCCGGCATTCGCCCACCACCAGACGCAGCGATCCGCTCGCCCCTGACCAGAGCTGTGCCGTGAAGAATGAGCATTGCCTTAGAACTGCAAGGCTGCATCCAGAATGCAAGCCTCTAAGGCAACCTTTAAAGTAACGCCCCTCATCTCTCCATGTCCTCCTTCCTTGGGGAACCAGACTCTTACTTGGTCCCAGGCCAGGACACAGGTACCCCTGGAGAGATGCTATCCCCGTCCCTGGCTGCCAGGTAGCACCGCACAGCGGAAGGTCAGGGTCAGATGGTGCTCAGGACCCCATGGTTTCCAGGTTAGAAGGGGACCCAGAGGGAATCCTGAGCCGCGGGAGCTGGCGCTGGCGCAGGGCTGCCGGCCACTCACTGCTGGACTTGGTGGCTGCAGTTGGAGCCGGTGTAGCTGATGATGAGCTGCAGCTTCTCGCTGGCATACTCCACGAACTGGCGCTTGAAGGCCCTCTCCTTGGCCTTGGTGGTCCAGGTCAGACGCTCGTAGACATAGAGGAGGCCGTAGAGTCCGAAAGACAGGGCGATGAGCCGCCAGCCCACCGCCTTCCACACCTGCAGAGGCACAACTGTCAGCTGAGGCCCCTGCCGCCCAGCCTCTCAGCCCGACCCTGCCAGGACTTTCCCGAGAGCCCCAGGCAAGGAGCCTTTCCCCGACTCAAAACACCTCTTTCAACGGGTCCTTTACTCCCACTGAGGCCCAAAGAGCAGGCTAAAGTTTAAAATAAAGGTCCGAGCCAGTTTGGCTCAGTAGATGGGACACTGGCCTGCAGATTGAAGAGTCCCGGGTTGGATTCTGGTTAAGGGCATGTACCTAGGTTGCAGGCTTGATCCCCAGCCCTGGTCAGGGCGTGTGTGGAAGGCAACCAATCAATGTTTCTTTCTCACATCAACGTTTCATTCTCTCTGTCTCTCCCGCTTCTCTCCACCCTCTCTAAAAATCAATGGACAAATATCCTCAAGTGAGGATTATCCAAAAATGAAAAATTAAATTAAATAAGGGAAACCTGGTGTTTGCATATATGATTTATGCAAAACAGTGGGTTGGGATACAGATCCAGGCACACGGAATTTTTTTTTTAAATCCTCACCTGAGAACTTGCTTACAGAGAGGAAAGGAGAAAGAGAAATATCAACGTGAAAGAGAAACTCGTTGCCTTCCGTATGTGCCCTGACCCGGACTGAACCCACAACCTCGGTATGTGCCTTGACTAGGTACAGAACTGGCAACCTTTTGGTCCACAGGACCAACTAAACCAGCTGAGCCATCCCGCCGGGCGGCACACAGAATTCTTGAAGATAAACGCTCTGCTGACACTGGCAAGTCACCTTCCACACCTCGTTCCTCGGCAGACGGCTCCTTTTTGTCCTGTCTGTAGCACTCTGCTTCAAGGCAGTGTGGCTACACTCTAAGAGCACTGGGCTTGGAGCCGGAAATCGAGCTCCAGTGCTGCCTGCCATCCTGGCTGTTTCGGTACACCTGTTCCCCCAAAACCAGCATAACCGTCTTCACCAATTCACAAGGTTTTTTTTTGGGGTAAAACGAGATGTTATAAAAGGGTTACATAGCCATCAAGGGCCAATGACCCTCGGCCAGGTCACCTCTGTGGAAGAAACGGAACAGGTGCCTCTGCAGGCGGAGGGAGAGGGCCCTCGGCTGTCTCACCTGGTCTTACAGGTTAGAAAGCAATTATGTTTGTTACATTCAGCCACCGTTTCTACAAATCAAATGTCCATAAAGAGCAACTCGCCCACATCATCAAGAAAATTCAAGGTAGCCCTGACTGGGCAGCTCAGTGGGTTGCAGCATCATTTCCATACACCAAGGTTGTGGTTTGATCCCCAGTCGGGGCACATACAAGAATCAACCAATACATAAAAAAGTGGAACAAATCAATGTTTCTCTCATGCACATGCTCTTAAAATCAATAAATAAATAAAAAAGGAAGAAAAGAAAGAGCCATGGCCAGTGTGGCTCATTTGGTTGAGCATTGTCCTGAAAGGTTGCTGGTTAGATTCCCAGTCTGGGCACATGGCTGGTTGTGGGCTCGATCCTCAAGCAGGGGGCGTGCAGGAGACAACTGATCCAAGTTTCCCTATCATATCAATGTTCTTTTTTCTCTCTCTCTCCCTCCCTCTCCCTTCCTGTCTCTAAAAAAAAAAAAAAAAAAAAAAATCAATAAAAAAATTTTTTAAAAATATATTTTATTGATTTTTTTACAGAGAGGAAGAGAGAGGGATAGAGAGTTAGAACATCAATGAGAGAGAATAATCGATCAGCTGCCTCTTGCACACCCCCTACTGGGATGTGCCCGGAACCAAGATACATGCCCTAGACCGGAATTGAACCCGAGACCTTTCAGTCCGCAGGCCGACGCTCTATCCATTGAGCCAAACCGGTTTCGGCAATAAAAAAATATTTTTTAAAAACATAAGTTTAAAAAAAGAAAAAAATTCAAGGCATAAGTTTTCCTGGCTGCAGTGTCTCCTGGGAAAGGAAGTAAGGAAGTACAGGACACCCCAGTTATCAAGAAGGCAGCCTGCAGCCCTAGCTGGTTTGGCTCAGTGGGCAGAGTATTGGCCTTTGGACTGAAGGGTTCCAGGTTCAATTCCGGTCAAAGGCACAATCCTGAGTTGCAGGCTCGATCCCCAGTAGAGGGCGTGCAAGAGGCAGCCAATCAATGACTCTCTCATCATTGATGTTTCTACCTCTTTCTCCCTCTCCCCTCCTCTCTGAAATCAATAAAAATATATATTTTTTAAAAGAAGGCAGGCTTGGCCTCTTTTGTATTAAACCCTTTCAAGTTTTGCTCTTGGTTTTCTTGCCTACAAATGAGAAAGTCTTGGTCACACCCACCTCTCCAGAACCTAGGCCTGCCCATTTCATGGGTCACTTCTCTACCCACCACACACCCGGGCCCCACAGGGGAAAGAGCACAGCCTTAGAGACAGACGGGGCCAGAGCTCACAGCCTGGCAAGGTAGTGACACTTTCCCGTCTGTCAAATGGGAATGAGCTACCCTAAATGTCAGCGGAGAGAGACATACAGGTCACTAAGTATATATGTTAAGGGACTGAGACTCACACTCAGCACCGATCAGTGAAGAGAGCTCTCAGTCTCGGATGGAGGTGAACAAGCCGTGCCACGCAGGGACTACAGGACTGTGCCCTCAGTCAGCCCCTGTCCCCCACCTCCCACCCGTCCACCAGGGCTTGTCACTGACCACTCCTCCAACAACCAGGATGCCCATGGAGGTCCTGGACGTCAGGGAGGCCAGGCCGGTGACCATGGAAACCATGAGTTCTTCTTGGGCGAGGGAGCCCTGAGGCAGGGGGGGCATGCTGGGGTTGGCTGGCGTCAGAGGGATGGGACGCTGAACCTGAAGAGAGAAACAAGGAGGGGGGAGAGAAATGAGGCTCATTCAATGAACCTTCAGTGACCCTCAAAGCGAGGGGTCCTGAAACAATTCCCAAAAGGCCAAAAGGGGGAAATGAGCTTCATAACAGACCTGCTAGCCCCAAGGTGAGCACTGTGGGATACCCCAGAACGTGAGCAGTGACCACCTGGGAAGGCTTCAGCATCCCTAAGAGTGAGATATATACCAAGAGCAGCCCGTGCAACAACTGAAGTGCGATGCAGAGGGATGGTGTGAAATCTAAATTTCACAACAACACACGGAGCCCCGGCCGGGCGGCTCAGCTGGTTGGAGCATCACCCCTTCCATCAAAAGGCTGCAGGTTTGGTTCCCGGTCAGGGCGCACACAGGAGGCAAGCCACTGGTGCTTCCTTCTCACATTGATGCTTCTCTCTCTCTTCCTTCCCCTCTCTCTAAAATCAATAAACATGTCCTTAAGTGAGGAAATAAATTTTTAATGGCATATGGAGAGATATTTTATGTCATTTAGATTTAAGTTATATATTATTATAATGGTTATTTAGAAATATTTACTTTAACTTAATAGTAATAATGGTTACTTTAATATGCATTAGAAGAAAAAAAAAATACATGCCGAAACTGGTTTGGCTCAGTGGATAGAGTGTCGGCCTGCAGACTGAAAGGTCCTAGGTTCGATTCCGGTCAAGGGTATGTACCTTGGTTGCGGGCACATCCCCAGTAGGGGGTGTGCAAGAGGCAGCTGATTGATGATTCTCTCTCATCAGTGTTTCTAACTCTATCCTTCTCTCTTCCTCTCTGTAAAAAATCAATAAAATATATATATTTTTAAAAAATACAACCCTAGATAGAGCATCAGCCTGTGGACTGAAGTGTACCAGGTTTGATTCTGATCAAGGGCACACAGGCTGGGTTGCGGGTTTGATCCCCAATAGTGGGCAAGCAGAAGGCAGCTGATCAATGATTCTCTCTCATCACTGATGTTTCTACCTCTCCCTCTCCCTTACTCTCTGAAATCAATACAAATATATTAAAATAAATAACGAATGAAAGGAAAAAAAAATACAGCTAGCATTTGCAACTTCCCAAGGATCAGTGCTCAGGAAATGGCCAGCGTGGACGTGGGGCCGCCGGAACTGTGGGCCTCCCGCACGGCCGGGGTGAGGGGCTGCGCTTGCCTGGTCATTGTAGCCCATCAAGGCCCGGCGGCTGTTCTTGGGGCCCAGGAACCTGTTCACCAGCATGGTCCACCCGAGAGAGAAATGGAACTCGATGTCCTCCTGAAAGTCAGCACACAGCTTGTCACAGTTGAGGTCGTAGCTGAGGGAGAAGCACTGCCGAGGGACCAGCATGTCCATCTGACTCCGCACGGACGCAGGGAGGAGGGGCTTCAGGCCGTCTGTCAGGAAGAGAAGGGGAGAGCACCTCAGCTCCGCGTGCTGCACCAGGGCCGAGGCATGGAACCCGAGCCCACAGCTGTGGCCAAGGACACTGATGGTTCTGCCCAGAAACCAGGCCCGGAGGAGGGCTGTGGGACCGGAGTGCCACACTCGGGCGGACAGGCCAGCTCTCCCAGGGGTGCAGGTCTGGGCTCTGCTCCTGCTGACATGATGCCTCATGTGGGTTAAGGAGCAGGCCACTCAGCGGGGACGGTCCCGTTTGGTAAACACAAGACGGCTCCGGGGCTACATGTGGAACGAACTCATGACATCACCCAGAATCTGAAGGCATCCAGGTGACTCATCACCAAGGTGACAGACGGGAAGTGGTCCCTGCGGCCTGGCCTTGAGTCGCCTTCCAGCACTCACCGATCATCTCCTGCTGCATGGTCTGCAGGGAGCCCGTGATGGCCGTGGAGCAGCGGTCCGACATGTTTCGGCCCAGGCCCTCCTCTATGTGGCGGTGCAGCTCCTGCAACCAGACGAGAGGGTGAGGGAAGAGGCACCCAGTCAGGACTTCCTCTGGGAGCCAAAGGACACGGAGGCTGGGCAGCCCGCGCCCTGGGAGCTGACATGGGAGAGCTGAGTGAGGCCTGGTCCCGTCTGCCCGGCTGAGGGGTCCTGACAGACCAGCGGGGCTGCTAGAGATGCCACCCAGTGGCCAAAGGGATCGAGGGGTGCTTATGGGGGCACGGCTGCTAATGACTCACATTCTTATAAACCTTGAGGACGACGGGAGAAGGGTGGAAATCCATCTGGTACTCGTCCACCAGCACGGAGAGGCGCCTGATCTCCTCGGCCATCGCCGTCGACACCTGTAGAAGGAAACATTAGGGATGGAGAAAGAACGTGTCCATATCTGCACTGGGAGAGCATCTAGAGTCTCAGACTCCAATATCCTTCTATTCCCCTCCCACCCCCACCCCCCAAGCCAGCCGTTTCCTCTGCTCAGGGTGGCATTAAAGAGGTAGAAGGAACGTGAGAGGTCGGCTGACCAAATGCTCACTAAGACCTGGAGAAGGTGAACCCGGCGAAGGCTCTGCATGTGGGATCAGGCCACGGGCTCCTTCTGGAGGCTGAGAGGGCCCCGGATGAGGAGTCTGCTTTTCCACGTTTCCACCCCGGACTCTGCTCTGAGCCTGACCCCGTTTCTCACCTGCCTTTCGACTTCCTCCGTGATCTGCTTGATCCGCAGTTTGTAGTCCTGTGCCAAGAGCTCCAACTGTTTGTCAATAAACGTCAGCCGCTCCTGCCGCTCCTCGCGCATTTCCAGGCAGTAAACCCTGGGAGAGAGGGCTGGTTACAGGACCCAGGCCCCTCCACCAGGAAGGGAGCCAGAGGGGCTGCCGGGAAGCCTGTGTGAGCTTGTGAAAAAGAACCATATACTTTGCTAATAATCAAAAGACCTTCCAAAGAAAATGGGTCACTCAAATCAGAGAACATCATAGAAGAGTAGATCCATACTTATCCGGTCAATTGATTCTTAGTAAATGGGTTAGAAAGCTGAGGGCCTTATTTCGATTCAGTCAAGGACGTGTACCTCAGTTGCAGGCTCGATCCCTGGCCCTGGTCGGGGCCCCTTTCAGAAGGCAACCAATCATGTGTCTCTCTCACATCAATGTCTCTCTCTTTCCTTCTCCTCCCTTCCACTCTCTCTAAAAAAAAAAAAAAGAAAGAAAAAAGAAAAATATCCTCTAGTGAAGATTGACAAAAAAAAAAAAAAAAAAAAAAAAAAAAAAAAAAGCAGTCAATGGGAAAATGAGGTATTCTCAATTCACATGGCATACTCTCTAGCAGTTAACAGTCACAGCTGCTAACACATGTACCCACGGATGAAGGCAAAGAAGAGGTGAGTGAAAGAAAGGCTGCGCAGTAACCAGAATGACGCTGTGGCTATATGTTCTGCATGTTCTTCAGGGTTTACGCAAAAAGTTCTTCTGACATGGACCATAGGACTACACACCAGATTCATGATCATGGTCGCCTTGGGGGGTGAGCAGCGTGACACAGGGTCAAGGGGCTGAGGAATCAAAGGTACTTCCGTGTTTTTTCTGTGTTTTAACGTAAAAATAATATAAAGCAAACACTGCCTATCAATTCTGTGTGGTAGCAAGGTGCTTTAACTTTTGGTGCCTTCCTATATTTCAACATCTCTCTAAAAAAAGGTTGTTTTAAAAACGTGTTCCGCCTTGGACTCTGAGCATGGCTGTAGTGCCCAGGGCAGCTCTGGGCCAGGCCTCCAGCATGTGCTGTGAGGTGGCATTTCAGAGCCCCATGCTGCACAGGCCCAATGGGACAGAACCCCAATGGTCCCCTCACCAGGCTGCTCCGGGTACCTCTAGTGAGGCCTGGTGGCTGGGAAGGGCACCTGCAGGGGAACCTAGAGACTCAGCTCTGCTGGCAGAGCTCTGCCCCTGGGCCCATCGTCCCAGGCAGGGGTGAGGCGGTCACTTCCCAGCATCCCCTCTCCCCAGGCCTGCCCGAGCTCCCGGGTCCTTACCGCTGCTCCTGAGCCGCGATGTGCAGAGAGTCCATGATGAGGCGAACTGCCTCCGCAATCTGCTTGGCCCGGACCGTGTGCTGCTCAAATTTGGTCTTCACTGCGGACTGGGAGATGCACTCCTGGAACAGACAAGAGGTGCTGAGGAGGCCACATGGCCACCAGCAGGGCCAGGCTCTGGTGTCACTGCCCAGGACAGGGCCGGTGACCGCTGGGAAGCCAGAAGCACCAGAGACCAGAATCAAGGACTCACCTCAAACCTCCTCTCAAAATTCTGAAACTCGAGCATCCTCACTTGAAAGCCTTCTGCAAGAGCGCCCCCTAGGAGAACTGCATGTTAGTCTGGAAATAGCTGCAGGGGAGGAAAGTGAAAACCCACAAAGCCATGCATGCCAATGTGACACTTGGCTAAACACTGGGGGGAGCAGAGAGCTCCTCACTCAGGCTGTTCTCACCACATCCTTCTCAGAACTATTTTCTCTCAGCTCACAGCATGAGACCAAACGTCTCAAACATTAGCGAAAAGGAGGAAGTGGGTCTCACTGTCACCTCCTTCGGGCATGCCCTGGGCCTTCTGGATCCTGGCGTTGAGCGCCTCCTTGGCAGACACGAAGAAGATGCGGTCTCCGGCCTGGCCCCGATCCACCACGCCCAGCTCATCCACCAGGAAGCTGGTGCAGCGCTCCATGTGCTGCCGCCGCACCTGGAGCCAAGCAAGGGGGGTGCGTGTGACCAGGTGGGCAGGTGAACCGTCTCCCACCATTTCTGCTCTCTAGTCACCGCACTCCTCAGAAGCAATATGGCCACGGGAGTCCCTTAGGGGATGGCCTGCCAAAGGGGTTTTAGGGATGAACTAGAGGACCAATGCGCGGAGATTGGTTGAAGAATGGGCCTTCCTTCCCCTGGCTGCCAGCACAGCCTTCATTCAGGATGGAGCAGCCTTTCCACCCTCCCATGCTGCCCAGAGGCCTGAAGCAGCTGGGGCGGTGTGGAACGCCCCACCCCCGCTGCTTTGCGCCTGCATATACAAATTAACCTGCCATTTTTGTTGCATTGATTTGCATACTCACTCCTGATTGGCTGGTGGGTGTCACAAAGATACGATCATTTTGCATCTTACTCTTTTATTAGTGTAGATAAACAGAAATGCCAACGCATGCCTCAAGGTGCCTCTTGTGAGGGCCTAACCAGTGTCTCACTTTCGTGCCCCAGAAGGAAAGGAACCCGGAGTTGAGAAACCTCCACCTGGGCTCTATGCTGACAAGCCGAGTCCTCCAAGGCCTTATCTATGAAATGTCCCCCACACAAGCCTGTCTGGCTCTGAAGTCTAGGGTTCTACTACTAGAACTTTCACATGCCAACAGCCACTTGGGGCCATCTGCCACATGCCCATCTCAATGCTGAGAGACTTCATCCCTGCTGTAATTCTTTCACATCCACCTCACAAGTCACACTGCCCAATGTCAGCCTGCTGACTGCACGCTTTTTCACCCCTCAGTACCAATCTGGGACTCCTGTTCCTTTCCTCTCACACACATGAGCCAATTATCTCTGTCCCTCTTTTAAGCCTCCTTCCTGGGTATCTTCCTAGAGCTGAGCTGGTCCTGCGATGATTAATCCTGTATGAACCAAAGTGAGCACAGGCCCCAAACAAGGCGCAGCTAACGTGCTGGGGACGCTCTGCAGAGCCGGATGAAAACCTCTGAAGGGTGGAGAGATCCGGGAAAGTGACGGGGAGGTGAAGAGAGTGTTTAAAGGCGGCAGAAGACCCCACAGTGAGCGAGGGAACACCTGGGAAATCTGTGGTGATGAAACTCCTTTAGGAAAGGCTGAACCTGGTGCAGCCTGGGAGTGCACAACGGGTACATACACATGTGGGGTGCAGTCCCCAAACTGCTGAATAGAGAGGCACCAACCTCCTCCATGTACTCGGGCTCTGAGGCAGACGCATCCCAGCGGTTGTTCAGAATGAAGATGTTGGGGCGGGACAGGCGCTCGCTCACCTTGTGGAAGAATTGCTTTTCCTGCACGAGAGGGAAAGGCCTCAGCGGAGGGGCCCCGCCAGCCAAGGCCCTGGGAGCGTGGGAAAGGCGGAGGAGGGGTTACCGTCTGCATCAGGGTAGACTCCGAGTTGGCCACCAGCACAAACACATCAGCGTCCAGGCAAAACTTGTCAATCCAGCTGTCCAGCTCTGTGGTGACATCGATGCCAGGGCTAGAGGTGACAGGGTTAAACCAATATCAGGCACACAGGCCGTGGGTCCTGTTCTTCCTGCTGTGGCAGACCTGAGGCAGCCAAGCAAGGGAGAGACAGCTAAAGAGGGGGTAAAATGTCATCCCTTCCTGAAGGGATTTTTCCTTTTCGTTTCATAACACTCCAGGTAATCCCGAGTGTGTTTCCTGCCACGTGCGTCTATCACTTTTACAAAAACATGATGATTTATAATTTTACTCTGGAGATAAACAATTAAGGTGGCGTGCTGCCCTGGCCTGTAGCTCCGCTGGTTAGAGCGTCACCACAATACACCAGGATTTCAGGTTCAATCGCCGATCGGGGCACATATAAGAACAAACCAGAGGATGTATAAATAAGTGGAAACAATTGATGTTTCTCTTTCTCTAAAATTAATAATTTTTAAAAAGGTGAAGTGTGCCGGGACCGGTTTGGCTCAGTGGTAGAGCGTCGGCCTGCGGACTGAAAGGTCCCGGGTTCGATTCCGGTCAAGGGCATGTACCGTGGTTGCGGGCACATCCCCAGTAGGGGATGTGCAAGAGGCAGCTAATCGATGATTCTCTCTCATCGATGTTTCTAACTCTCTATCCTTCTCTCCTCCTCTCTGTGAAAAATCAATAAAATATATTTAAATAAATAAATAAATAAATAAATAAAATAAAAAGGTGAAGTGTTATATTCATGAGAGTCCAATAAGCACTACAATATCGTATTTCTTGGTATAGTTGCAACCTGCCCACAAAGCAGGAACAAAATAAAGTGCTCCTTTCCCAAAAATAAAGTACAACATGGACACCACCTCCCGACACACGTACTAGCATTGGGTCGAGGCTTCGGTCACCCCTCCTATTCCTCCCCACAGGCCATCACTGGCACATCTTCAGGGCACTGGTGCCAATGAAACCATAACCAGACCCCGGAGGGAATCCAAGAGGAAGGGGGAGGTGGTAGAGCCAATACATAAGCAGAGCAAGGACAGGGCCCAGGGAACACTGGCTTGGATGATCCAGAAATGGGACTCTTGGCCCTCTAGGTTTGGACTTCCTACGCAGGCACCTTTCCTCTTACCTGTCCATCAGCACGAGGTCATCCTTCAGCAGCGGGCACTTGGAGTTGGGCCACATCACACTCACCAGGCTGCCAGCATGCAGCTGCTCATCCTGGTGGAGGGCATGCGCCAGCTGGTTCACCGTCTGGTGGGGGGAGGGGAGGGACGTTCACGGCTCAGGCCCAGCTGGGAGCTGCCGCCACAGGGCAGACTGCCTGTGCTGCCTGGCGTGGCACAGTGGCCTGCGGCTGCTTTGCTTCCCCTTTCCTTTCACTGCACACATAAAAGTCAAGAGCTGGGAGTTGCCAGGAGAACCAACTATTCTTCACTCCCCCTCAAGCTTCTCCCTCAGACACTGCGCTAAAGCGGGCGGTGCCTGTACTAAGTCTTTATGAACCGAAATGAGCATCTGGCCCCACACAAGAATGCGGCTGGCTCTCGGGAAAATTAAATGTACAAGCTCCTAGCTGGTATGTCAGAACCCGCAAGCAAATGCAGGAATCGCTCTCTGGAAACTTCCCCAAGGAGAACAAGGCAAGTACTCTCTTCAGGTCAAGAGAAAAGCCTGCTGGGTAATAGGCAAGGACCTGCAGGCTCCCATTCCTGGTGTTCCCGGTTCCAGCCCTTCCTGGAACAGCTCTCCTCCTAAACAGCCAGGGAGCAGGGCCGCCACACCCATCACCGGGCACCACCTGTCTTGCTAGTTGGTCTAAGCCCAGACTCACCCTCCAGGATGCCCAGGGCCGCGGCCCTGCCCCCAGTCCCACCCAGCACCGCACCTTGATGCTCCTCTTCTCCTCCGAGCCCTCCGTGAGGAGGAAGGCCTCGTGGCCATCTGTGCCCTCCACCCGCAGGAAGCAGTTGGTGGTGTGGCCGATCCCGGAGGGCAGAACTTTGTCCCAGAGCATGGCATTGATCACGGTGCTCTTCCCGTTGCTCGTCCTGTGGGAAGGGAACACTGGCTGTCAGCGAGGCACCGACATCTGCACTTTGGGCTTTTGCAATGAAGTTAGCAGCCCGGAGGCCCGAGGCCTTGTTGTCTGCAGTGACAGCAGTGCCCGGACAGGCAGAGCGGGCGCTCTGAGTTTATGGAAATGCGCGGACAGATGCCTGTCCTATCCTGTGAGGTGCTCCTGGCTCATCACTGCAAACCAACATGCAAGGCACTCACACGGTGGGGAGTCAGCACGATGTGGCTTATGTCCGTAAACAGGCCTGCCCTGACCGCAAGCCTCTCAGCGTCACTGATGGGACCACTGAAGGAGACCCACCCTTCCACCGAAACCACTGACCCTCAGTCTCAGTGACCCCGGCTGAATGGCCCCGATGTCCCTGGCTCCCTCAGAAGGCCGAGTGTGCTGCTCTTCTCCCCCTGTGCTCCTCCTCACATGAGGCCCCACCACGTCTGCCCAGCGGGTAACTGCTGCCACAGGGCAGCCTCCCGTGCCCTCGGGGCTGTGAGATGCTCAGCCTGTGGTCTTGCCCAAAGTGTCTCTCTCACCCGCACTCCCACCCAGCCCAGGAGGAAGAGGTGTGAGGACGAAAACTCACCGGCCAAAGAAAGCCACTTTCATGTGCCTCCGGGCCAGCACCTCGCTGATGCCCCGCACTTTGGACAGGTAGCCTTTGACGTCCAGAACCTGCTCTTCTGTCGTAACGGGGTCCAGCTCTGCATTCCTGTGGGTGTCTGGAGGCGGGGAGGGGGAATGGGTCAGCACCCGCTCCCAGGAGTTCCACTGTCATGTCTGAGAGGAACAGAGGCCACCGAGGAGGCTCCCTGCTGCCGGGCTGAGGTCCCGATTCCCTGCTGTGGCCGCAGGGCGCAGTGACCAACACGGCTCCCGGGGCCGGACTACCTGGTTCCATGCTGGAAGTACGTGCTGGTCTCGCCTCTTCCTAGCTTTGTGGCCTCAAACAAATGGATCTTCCTGGGTCTTAGTTTCCTCACCCTTAAAATGCAGGTAACAGTCCCTACCTCCTATGACTACTACAAGTATCCATCATGCACCAGCCACCATTTTTAGCGCTTTTAAAAGCACAAAAAGCACTAAAAATGGTGGCTAGTGCATGACGGATACTCAAATATTAACTGTCATCATTTACGTTCATGTTTAGTACTTAATAAATACCAACTTCTCACTACCTGCCAGGTACAATTTTGACCACTTTTCAAAGCTACATTTAAAAGAGTCAGCCCTATCCGGTTTGGCTCAGTGGATAGAGCGTTGGCCTTCGGACTCAAGAGTCCTGGGTTCGATTGTACCTTGGATGCGGGCAAATCCCCAGTAAGGGGTGTGCAGGAGGCAGCTGATCAATATTTCTCTTTCATCGATGTTTTTAACTCTCTATATTTCTCCCTTCCTCTCTGTAAAAAATCAATAAAATATATTTAAAAGAGACAGCCAATAGGCGAACAAACTCTCAGTCCTAAAGCAGTAACTCTTCCCTCCCCAGCCAGGGCAATCCCAACACAGAATCCCAGAATTCTCCAGCTCTTTCCCTTCCAGTCCACCAACAGGAAAGGCCTCATATTTTCACCAAAAAAAAAAAGAAAGACATGGAAACACCCCTCCTGATGCCATCTCATAAAAACCTTCCCTAAGCATGTGTCTGCCCACAGCCCACTTGAGTAAGTGACTCAGAGGTTATAGTCTGGGCTCTGGGAGGACTGAGGCCTGGTCTGCCCCATCCCTGCATGCCACTGCTAGGCGCTAGAGATACTGCTAAATAAGCAGGTCACCAACAGGAATAATGTCAACAACCAACCTTATCACGTTAAAACTCAGATTTTGAAGTTTAACAAATATTTAGAAAATACTTTCTCTTGCCTCAGGTCCATGCTAAGAGCAGGGCATAGATAAGTCCACTCTCAATCTCAGACGCTCAGGCTGTACCGACTGGGCGCCTCACAGACAACGGAAATGTATTGATCGGAATGCCAGCTGGTGGGTGAGGGCCCTCTTCGGGTTCCAACTTCTCGTATCCTTACCTGGTGGAAGGGGCTAGAGCTTCGTGGCGGTCTCTTTTATAAGAGCACAAATCTCATTCATGAGGCCTCCTCCCTCCTCATGAATGAGATTTGTGCTCTTATAAAAGAGACCTCATCACCTCCCACCTACCCACCACCTAACACCATCACATGGGCCTTAGGAGTCCAACATGGGAATCTAGGGGGACACAAACATTCAGACCGTAGTACTAGACATGTTTCCTTTCCTTTAAATAACGATCCTCAGAACAGAGGTGGCCTAGAAATAGTTCTGAGAAATCGCAGCCTGACATGTAAACCAAGCATGAGCCAAGCGTGTCCCTGGAACTTTTCCACTGAACCTCTAGGGTTCCACAGACTAGAATCGGAAAACCCCTGGTCTCGCCCGAGCCCTGCTTTCCTAAGTGAAGAGACCAAGGGCAGATAAGACTCAGCTACTGCATCTTTCCTGACCATCCCAGGATCCGGAGTCAGGATATGCCTTCCTGAGGAGTCAGTGGCTGGAGGGGCACTCAGACTGAGCAGGACCCTGGGAACCAGCCCGTCTGTGCTGAGCCTCCAGGCCGGGCTCCAATCAGTAACTAATGAAAAAGGTGCCGGTGAGGCAAGTTTCCTATTCATAGTCCTGTCGTCTAAAAATATCAGAGAACACCCCGGTCAGAAATAAACACCCAGAAAGAGCCCCGGATGAATGGCAGCAGAGCTGGGCCAAGGAAAACACCGGGGTAAAGCCCCGTGTGCCACTTACACGCTATCATGCACCTCACCCTCCACCTGCATGTGTTTCAGATGGGGATTAGATCCGCCCACCCCTCGTGATTAAATTAAGTCATACAGGGAATCCTTAAATGACAGGTCCCTTGTTTTCCTGGCCGATCTCCCTGGCACCCAACTCCACACCATTCCGAGCAGAGCGTGGCTGGAAGTAACAACACATCTGGGCAGGAGCCCCCCAGGCGCAGGGCTGTTCCCGGCCACCCCCAAACCCTGCCCCTAAATATCAAAACTGACAGGAGCGGGCCCGGCTCAGCAGCCCGTCTCACCTTCCAGGAAGGTGGCGCTCTCTTGGATGTAGGCCCCCAGCTGCTCAAAGATGCCATTGATCTTCTTCTTGGCGGTGACAAAGTGCTTGAGGGGAGAAGCATTCACCTCCGCCATGTGTCTCTTATCCTTCTTGACGGTGACAACGGAGTTGCATCGAGGGAAGAACAGGGACATCGCGCTGGAAGAGAGGAGACCGTCAGCGAGCCCGGGACACGGGCTGGCGTCACGCTGGTGTGTGGCAGGGGCTGCAGGGGGGCGGGACCAGCGGGGGCCCATCGAGAACACGGGCTCCAGGACCAAGGCAGGGCCAGGAGGTAGGAGCCACATCTCACGAGTAAGCAGGACTTCTCAGGACTGTAGGGCCAGGCTCCCTATCACGGAGCCTGGGCATTCAGATGCGAAGTCAGCGTCCGAATTCAGGCCTAGCACTGGCTATGCCTCGCCTGCTGGTCAGTGACAGCCCTGCCTTCCCCACCTCAGAGAGACGAGGAGAAATCGAGAGGCAGAAAAGCATAACAGAAACCCACCTCTCTCCTACACATCGCCCACCTGACACCCAGCACTGAACACTGAAAGAGGAAAGCAAAGTGACACTCAAAGTCAGCGACTCCCACCACTCTCCCCTGCTTTCCGGGTCCCGACAACCCTAATTTTATTTCTTTTTAATTTTTTAAAATATTTTATTGATTTTTTTACAGAGAGCAAGAGAGAGGGACAGAGAGTTAGAAACATCGAGAGAGAATCATCGATCAACTGCCTCTTGCACACCCCCGCTGGGGATGTGCCCGCAACCAAGGTACATGCCCTTGACTGGAATCGAACGTGGGACCTTTCAGTCCTCAGGCCGATGCTCTATCCACTGAGCCAAACCGGTTTTGGCGAGACAACCCTAATTTTAACAGATTTTGGTTTGGGGGTTGGGAGCACAGAGGCAGGATGATCCTCAAGGGAGAGGTCTATACTTTACTTAAAAACATGTACTGATCTCCCTCATCATCAATGTGTGCACAGTAGGAAGTGTGGAAACTAAAGGTAAAAAGAATCCCGAGGAGCTATGTAGTAACTGAGAAGCTCAGGGGCCGAAAGTCACAGCACAGGATGACCCGATGATAAATTCCTAACTGGGTAGGTCATGGTGGGCAATCACACCTCAGGCCAAGAACCTCCTCAGTAAAAAGTTAATCTTTGCCTGAACCTTCTGTTCTTGGGTATCTGGGGACTTCTGAATATCAGAGTAATGCTCTTTTCCAGCCCCCTCAGAGACATACCCACCCTCATGGGAACACATATCATCTCTAGGCCACCTCTGTTAACTGTAAACGTCAAAGGTTAACTATTCTTACACACCAGTACAAAAGAAGTATGCGTCTGCCCATTTTACTTTCCATCCAATCAGAGGTTCCCCAGCTCTGCTCTGCCACCAATGGATTCACGTAATCACCCTCGGTTCCCTCCTTTCATTCCCCATGCATGAAAGGAGCTGCAGATCGGCCATGCCCATAGCATGTTCTCAGCCAGCATTTCCTCGATCCTGCTCCTGGGCATGTCCTTAGTCTGACTCTAACAAAGTCCTGTACATATCTCTGCGGGGCTGGGGGTTCTGTAAATATTTCTATTTACAGGGCTGGCAGTTCTCTCGGACATCACCTCCCTGTGATAAACACTGATAACGTCCATCGGCACGGCCTGTTTCTGGGCGGGAGGCTCTCTTGCTCTCCCGCACTCACACATCTTCCCAGCCCGGATTTTCCAGAGAGTAGTAACATGTTAAGGGTCTCCAGACCTCACTCCCAAGCCCTAGAGACATTTGGCTCGAGTCAAAAGGACAGACAGACGGAAACGAAGAAGGTAGCACCCTCGTGTGGTTGGGAATCTCTGGTCCCAAAGGCAGGCTGTTGCTCAGAGACTCCACTACACACACAGCTACTCCGCTGGCAGAGCCTGGCATCCTGCGAAGTGAAAGGGAAAAAGCCCTCCGTGGGTGAGTCAGTGTGTACCACAGCCATGTGGGTGTGCCTGGCTCTGCCCTCCGCAACACCCGGCAAATTCCTGTCCGCCACTCCCTCTCCAGCAGGCCTAATCAGAGCTGTCAGCCCTCTCATGGCCAAGGCCAAGCAATCATTCTCTCTCACTGGGAAAGGAGAAGGCGTTGCTCATGAATAAGCACACACACGACAAACTTCCAAAGGGTGTCAAAGTTCCCGAGAAACAGCTGAGACCAGTTTGGCTCAGTGGATAGAGGGTCAGCCTGCGGACTGAAGGGTCCCAGGTTTGATTCCAGTCAAGGACATGTACATTGGTTGCGGGCACATCCCCAGTAGGGGGTGTGCAGGAGGCAGCTGGTCGATGTTTCTCTTTCATCGAGGTTTCTAGCCCTCGATCCCTTTCCCTTCCTCTCTGTAAGAAATCAATAAAATAAAAAAATAATATATATATATATATATATATATATATATATATATATATTTTTTTTTTTTTTTTTTTAAGTTCCTAAGAAACAAAATATCTAGAAAAAGTAGATTTTGCATACCTGAAAACTGGATCCTAGGATCTAGCCATCCCAAGAATGGACAGAAAGACAGACAGACCCACAGGGAAATTGCAACCAGCATGTTTTGCCCACAGCCACAGATTACTCTGCATTGTTAATGACTTCGGGGAAGATAGGAGTGACTTGTATGTCCATTTCTACCTTCCTCCTCAGTAAAACACCACAACTGTGGGAGAGTTTCTTAGCTTGGAGGCCACGTGTCAAGGGCTTACTAAGAGACAGAAGCCTGGCCAGTGCTGCTCAATGGTTGAGCATCAACCCATAAACCAGGAGGTCATGGATCAATTCCTGGTCAGGGCACATGCTGGGGTTGTGGGCTCCATCCCAAATGGGGGACATACAGGGGGAAAGCCGGTCAATGGCTCTCTTTCATCATTGATTTTTCTTTCCCTCCTTCTCCCTTTTTCTCTGGAATCAATTACACACACACACACACACACACACACACACACACACACTTTTTTTTTTTAAGCTTCTAGTCCAGCACCCTTGGAGAAAAATAAGAGAGACAGCAGTGCTCTGAGAAGGGACACTGGACCCTAGCTAGTTTGGTTCAGTGGATAGAGTGTTAGCCTGTGGGCTGAAGGGTCCCAGGTTCGGTTCTGGTCAAGGGCACAGGTTTCAGGCTTGATCCCTAATGGGGGAGCATGCAGGAAGCAGCTGGTCAGTGATTCTCTCTCATCACTGATCTCTCTCTCTCTCCGTGTCCCTTTAAAAATTTTTTTTTTTTTTAAAGGGACACTGGGAAGAAAACATCACTCTCCTCCAAAGCAGAAGAGGAGAGAGCATGCAATCAGGCTGACGGAGGCCCAGCAGGTAAGGCTGTTAGAGAAACAAGAATGCAAGAGTGAGAGAGGAAAACCACTGACGGGAGAACAGGGATACCTGACACGGGCGTGAAGTAGCGTGCAGATGACAGATTCTGGAATGCACACAGCTGGGTACAAATCGTGCTCAGTCTATTTCTGAGCTATATAAACTTGAGCAATTTATTTATCCTCAAAGCCTTGGCTTCATCACATGTACAAGCGTGATGCCCACAGACTAAGAAGACTGGGAATGGCAGTACAAGTTCAAAGGTAACTTTATATGTTACATAGCAACCACAGACTCTGCCAGCAAGATCACAACACCTCCACAACACACCCACAGCTCCCACACCTGCTGCCAGGAGGATGGAGTAAGCAGGTCTGCTCAGACCCAAGGCTGACTTGTTTCCAGGCAGCAAGTTCCCTGAGAACCACAAGACTTTTATTTGTTTGTTTGTTTTATATATTTTTATTGATTTCAGAGAGGAAGAGAGAAGGAGAGAGAAACATCAATGATGAGAGATCATTGATAGGTTGCCTCCTGCACACCTCCTACTGGGGATTGAGCCCGCAACCTGGGCATGTGCCCTTGACCGGAATCGAACCGGGGACCACTCAGTATGCAGGCTGATGCTCTATCCACTGACCCAAACTGGCCAGGGTCGAATGGCTTTTAGAAGCAAGTGCTTTAAAGTTCTGGTCATTGCTTACAAGCCCAAAGGACATGAAATGAAAGGTGTTAGTGTCCAGTGAGTGCAAGATTCAAAGGTACGCATGCTAGTAGAAGTTCAGTGTTTCTTTGACATTACAAGGTCTACTGGGACTTCAGCTTGCCCAGGGAGCTGACTGCTTTCCCCTTTCCCCACTTGCAGCTGCATGCCACGCCCACATGGCTCACGTGGAACCGCTCATGTGGAACCTCCAACCTCTCCAAACTCTGATGGCTCTGGCTCTGCTAACTCCCGAGCTGAGCTGCTGCTTTCAGCCTAGAATCCTCTTTCCTTTTTCACTCATTTGACTCCTACTGACCTTCTAGGCCCAACTCTAGTGGCATCCCTCCACGAAGCTCCCCTGATGTCTCCAGGGAGGACATACCACCTTACCTGACATTTTGGTTTTTTGCCCTACACCAGTGGTCAGCAAACTCATTAGTCTACAGAGCCACATATCAACAGTACAACGATTGAAATTTCTTTTTTGAGAGCCGAAAACCGACTTCAATCGCACTGTACGTGGGTGCCCGCACGTGGCATTTTGTGGAAGAGCCACACTCAAGGGGCCAAATAGCCACATGTGGCTCGCGAGCCGCAGTTTGCCAACCACTGCCTTACTCTGTCTCCCTGTCTAGTCTATGAGCTTCTAGAAAGCCAATCTCCGACACAGAGCAGTGGCCTATTTCCACTTCTACTTCCTCCTCCACAGCTGGGAGAACCATGGTTTGAGTGAGACTGCCCTTCATGGGCAGCATCTTCTTACCCTTTCATCCCTGGAGCACCCACATCTACTTTTTTCTTAAAAAGCAGCTTTTGACTAAGCATGTGTTTCTTAGTATTTGGAACAAGCCTTTCAGATGCCAAGGTTGAATCCTCCCAAAGAGCCAGCTAAACATGCATAGGCACACCAACGGACCAAAGTTGCAAAATACACGCACACAAGACAAGATAGGGTCCCTACCATCTTGGGCTTCGCCTGCTGGCTTCCCAGCCTTCCAGGAAGTGGGAGGCGCTGGGTTCCTGTCCCTCTGGAAAGCCCTGATAGCCCCTACTTCCCTGCAGGGCTCCCCACAGTCCGGGAGGCCACCCCAGTCACAGCTG